CAATCAAATCCGTCTGCCGGAAGGCATGCAGCTTAGCTGGCGCGCGCACAGACACAGCACGTATCCTCTGCCCTTGAGTGTCAAGTCTTTTACACTGTGTTTTGCTTACAGTACCCGCAATGAAAATGAAAACTGCAGACTGCAGGCAGACAGACAAGCCTTCTCTAGTTCTCTCTTCAATGGTCACTTGTTACTACGTGTGGTGTCATATCAGATCAGTACAAACCCTTATAGTTCCTTTTCTTTTCTTCCATATATGATCAGGGAGTTCTCACCCAATAATTGGATCGTGATCGATGTGGCACACCACAACATGTCGCCATGTCGGTTGTCTGATATTCTTTAATGACTTAAACCGCGTCGCAGTAACAAAAAAGTATTTCGCCACGTCATCATGATGTCATCTGACAAATCTAAACCGTTGGATAACATTCTATCAGCATGAGTGATGCTAATAGCAGTCGGTGTTTTTTTGACTTCTCACAATACATAAAACTCTAGAGAGTTACCAACAGGGTATAGGTAAATAAAAAATTACATACTCCGTGACCAGCGCTTCAGCTACTTAGAAAATGTTAAGGGCACTCTAGAAAAATATAGAGAAGTATGTAGATAAATCAAACATGCTCCCGTAGGCTATTGCTGCCACTCCTTTCTCGGCAAAACTAGACGCGAACTGTTGTAATAAAAAATAAAGAAAGAAAAGAAAAAAACAGGAAACAACCGGGAAACAAAAGCCCAACTGCTACTGGGCATTTAGCTGGTCTACAATTGTCGTTTCATTAAGTTAAAAGGCGTGGTTAGCACTCGAACATCCGGACGCACACGCGCGTCCGGACGCTCACACAGTCCGCCCTCGTCCGCCTTCGCCCCGTCTCTGCGCCCGCCGGTCGCCCCTCCTCTCTTTCCGCGCAGGTGGCACTAAGGAGCCGGGATGAGCAGCTGAGGACGAGCACGCCGCTAGCATGCCCCGACCATAGCACCACCATCCACCGGCCCCCAGCGCCCTCATCTGCCGCCCCCCGGCGCGCCGCGTGCCTAGTCCGCTCGCCCTCGGCTTGCCCTAGGCCGAACAATATGAAACATTAGCAACATCAAAAACATTTGAATGCAACATACGTATGAAAACAGATGAAACATTGGAACATGCACTTGCAACATGTGTGTGAAACACATGAAACATCCAGAATTGCAACTTGCAACATGAAACCACTTGCTGCAACATAAGACTGAAACATCTAAAATATTTGTTGTAACATATGTGTGAAATATACGCAACATGCAAATAAAAAACTATTGCAACATATGTCTAGAAACATATGAAACATTTTGAACAAACGCTTGCAATATGCTTCTGAAACATTTGCAACATCCCCTATCTACTTTTGCAACATCAAGATGAAACAACTGCAACATACATCTAAAACTTCTGGAACACTGAAACATACATATGCAACATAGGCGAGGAAAAGGCCGGGGCAGCAACCGATAAATCAGGCTTTGAACAAGAACATGGCAAGCGTCGCGGATCTGCGCCGGGATCCGGCAGCCGAAACATGCCCGGTGAGCACGACCTTGTCGAGGTCGTTGACGCCCTTGCAGTGCCTGATAGGCGCCGCCTCCTGCTTCTCCTCGCCCGTCGGCGGCGATGACGCCGAGGCCGACATGCTGTCCTTCCGCCAGACCGAGCCACAGCGAGCACCGCACGCCGAGGCCGAGCGGAGTGGAGCAAAGTAGAGTAGTGGAGCTGGAGGGAGGAAGTGGAGAGAGGCAGGTAGGCAGATGGTCTGGCTCAAGGTCGATTTGGGGAATTTCCGCATAGCGCCCTTGCGTGTTGTTTTTTTTGAGAGAGAGCGGATGAGTGGATGAGGATAAGCCACGTTCGACGGGACGGACGCTGGTGGGCCAGCACTATCGTAAATTAAAATGTGGTCTAACTACGAAACCTAGACACAATGTGCGGGCACATTCCAAGCACGGCAATGCCGCGCACTGTTCTAGTTTGATCCAGAGAAACTGTGTAAACCTCAAGTGTACTCACTGGAAAGCCAGGTTCCGTGAGCCCAAATGTGAAACGGGGTAGATTCACGGCGGCTGCTATGTATTGTACGAGTACATCCATGTGCCTCTGCGCCCTTAATTTCTCTTGCCTACTCATATAAAAACACAAGCCAAAAACTGGTATGGTAGTCTTATCTCAACATGTCGAAAGCCACATCTCACTCAACCAATTCTGTTTCATTACATGCGGCACCGTGCAATCATCATTGTGCGCCGACGTCGATGGTCCAAGCTACATTGCTTAGACGACAGCCAAGCGCTGCAAATCCTTTCTGTCTTAACATATTGAGTTTCCGTGATCTTAAGTCAAAAATGGCACTGCTTGTGCCTGCAGTGATGAGTGAAGTCAATCGCAAAGCCTGAACTTCACTCAAGCCAAAGCCAAAGTCTCTAACTACTGATTTTATTTGTAATTCAAAGAGTGAGTTCAAACAGACCCACTACCTGATTACAGACCTGATTTGAGGGCAACACCATGCCACATGTCAGGGAGTTACAGGGTAATAGCCATTTCCATCCACCAACAAAATTCAGGTGATATGCAAGATCATTCATAGGCTTCTGTCTAACAACGAAAAAACAGATCCAGAAGCACTTTGAACTCACAACTCTGTACTACACTTGTACAGCCATCAACAACCAGAGTCCGAAACATACAGGATACATCTCACTATCTCAGCGCAACACTAGCAACCACCTTCACTCACTCGTCTTTCATGGTACATTAATGCGCGTTTGAGTTTTTTCAGGGATTTTTAAGAGATACTAAGAATTCACGAAGAAAAGAGCACACTCAAATACAATAGGTAATGCCAAGACCCAAAAGAAGTCTGTATTGTATTATAACAAATGTTTATAACCAAAGTCAGCGCAGGACTTCACAAGTACAATAGGTACGGCTCACGAAAACAAAGAGCTGACTTAACCACAATGATGATAATCTAAAGCAGCATGATCATATTAGCTTAGGTAGTGGCCTAAAGGCTGCCAAGTCACTCACTTTCATCTGATTGGCCTTCAGCCTACCCTAGGCGCCGCAGATTTTTCAGTTCCAGTCACGGGCTTACCACTCAACTACTGTTCATCCTTTGGTAATTTTAAGTAGAAGCAGCAATGCATGGGCCGTTCTTGATGTGGAATAAACTAAATGTTGGTTTGTGTCGCATTTGGTTCAGAGAAACTGTGTGAACCCCAACCATTCACTGAGAAGCTGTTTGGCTGATGGCTTTTACAGCTGATAAACCGCTGTTGTTGTTTTATTGTGAGAAAAAAACACTATACCATCGCTGATAAGCCAGGCTGATAAGAACCAGGCGATTAATGTGAAACGGGATAGCTTCACGGTGGCTGCTATGTACTATTGTAGCCTCAGCGCCCTTATTTCTCATGCCTATACGCCTATACAGATATAAAAACACAGAGCCCTGAACACAAGCCAAAAGCTTGGTATGGTACTACTATCTCAACATGCCGAAAGCCGCATCTCACTCAACCAGTTTCGTTTCACTACCGTACCAGATTATATTAATCCATTTGCATGCGGCGCCGTGCAATCATCATTGTGCGTCGATCGTCCAAGCTACATTGCTTAGACGACGGCCAAGCACTCGCTGCAAATCCTTGCTGTCTTAACATATTGAGTTTCCGTGATCTCAAGTCAAAAGCAAGGTTTTAAATAGCCGGCTATGTCATTTAGCTTTTTGTGTCGGAAACAAGGTTTTAAATAGCCGGCTATGCCATTTAGCTTTCTGTGTCCGAAAACAAGCTATAGCCGGCTATAGCGGGCTATAGCGGCAGCTAAGAGCTAACTTGTACATAAAAAAACTTAGCTAAATCCTTCTCAAACAACTATAGCTGGAGATAGCGGAGGCTATAACCGGAGATTTAAAACCTTGGTCCGAAAACAGGCTATTGCGGCAGCTAAGAGCTAACTTGTACATAGAAAAACTTAGTTAAATCCTTCTCAAACAGCTATAGCTGGAGATAGCGGAGGCTATAGCCGGAGATTTAAAACCTTGGTCAAAAGTGACACTGCTTGTGCATCATGCAGTGAGTGAAGTCAATCGCAAAGTCTGAACTTCACTCAAGCCACAGAGTCTTACTACTCCATGAAGCAAGCAAGGAAGAAGATCGATCGGTTTCTGGTACGTACTTGTTTTCAAACCTTTCACCAATCAAGGATGAACCAATCTCCTGTCAGTAACTGAAGTGACTGAAGAAGTCTGAAGAACTGAACTACTGAAGACAACCAGCCTGCACTCCTGTCTGCCATACCAATTCGATCTCTTTTCCTTGGGATCTGAGGACGGACGTTCCATGTCATGCCAGCAAATTAAAAATGTATTTTTAGGGTAATGAGGCTGCAATAATTCCGCCATCCGACTGATCTTGATGGGCCATGTGCTTCGCTTGGCCGCCCCACCGTATCCTGTCCGGGCCATTCCAATTCCATGCTGCAGAAACAAACACCTAGCTAGCGGCAGGCAGGAACAAGATCCGAGAAAGCACCACGTCGATCCCATGCTCTCCGGCGAGCAGAACCAGAACATGGGACGGACGGAGGCGTCGCCCTCCCCCCGGCCTTGGTGCAGGAGGTGCAGAATCGCGGAGCCACATGCCGTAGCTTCCTCCGCACGTCTTGCCATGCTTGCTGCCGCGCAAGTCACGGTGCGGCGCCTCGCACAGTTGTAGTTGCAGCAGGGCTTGCAGCCACATGCACGTGCGCCTCCCATCTAATTTCGCATGCGTGCGCGATCGCCGGCCGGCCTCCTGCCGCCATATATACACGGCCGGCCTTTCCACATTCTCAGCTGCGCTTGCACGGCTCACTGGCTCAGTGCTCACCGCCGCTAGCTTCGTCGTCTGTGTACAGACAGACCACCGGAGGTCTACTCTGCTCTGCCGCGCTTCCTGATCGCCTGATCGGTCGTCGCCCGGCGATGGCGCGTGGTTACAGTTACGGTTACGGTTACAGCCACCTACAGGCCGCCGCAGCCGCCGCGCTGGTGGTCGGCTGGGCGCTGGCCGTCGCATCGCCGGCCGGGGCGTTCGCGCCGTCCGCCTGGAGCAAGGGCAGCGCCACGTTCTATGGCGGCAGCGACGCGTCCGGCACCATGGGTACGTTACGTATGCATGTAAAAGGTTCAATCTCTTCGTCTCCATCGTGAATCGTGACGACTGACACAACGTGTGCACGCATGCAGGCGGCGCGTGCGGGTACGGGAACCTGTACGCGCAGGGGTACGGGACGCGGACGGCGGCGCTAAGCACGTCGCTGTTCAACGACGGCGCGTCGTGCGGGCAGTGCTACAGGCTGGTCTGCGACGCTGCCACGGACCCGCGGTGGTGCCGCCGTGGCCGCGGCGCCTCCGTGACCGTGACGGCGACCAACTTCTGCCCGCCCAACTACGCGCAGCCGTCGGACGACGGCGGGTGGTGCAACCCGCCGCGGCAGCACTTCGACATGGCGCAACCGGCGTGGGAGCGGATCGGTGTCTACCAGGGCGGGATCGTGCCCGTGCTGTTCCGCCGCGTGTCCTGCAGGCGCCGCGGCGGGGTGCGGTTCACGGTCAGCGGCCGGGACTACTTCGAGCTGGTGCTGGTCACCAACGTGGCGGGCGCCGGCGCCGTGCGGGCCATGGACGTCAGGGGCACCCGAACCGCCGGCTGGATGCCCATGTCCAGGAACTGGGGCGCCAACTGGCAGTCCCTGGCGTACCTCAACGGGAAGGGGCTCTCGTTCCGGGTCACCGCCGATGATGGGCAGACCGTCGTGTTCGCCGACGTCGTGCCGGCGTCGTGGACGTTCGGGCAGACGTACGCGAGCAGGCTGCAGTTCAACTAGACTAAGGGTGCGGCCACATGGGCTGGGCCGAGTTGAAGTCGTCGGCCGTGGCGTGCTTTGCTGGTGGGTCTCTGTCAGTTTAGCTGCCCGCCTACGCGTGCTCGGCACAGCCACTATCGCTGCTTGTAATGTCTGCGTTGCCGGCCCTTTTTTTGTTTTTATCATTGTGTGTATCGGATGATGCGTTTCATATCAGTGCTATGAACTTGGTAATCCATACTTCGGAGTTGCGATGTTGTGATGGATCTCATGTCTTGATAGATAAGTACTTGCGAAAGTTTTTGTCAGTGAAATAAGTGCCTCCATCACTGATCATCATTCTTGGGACACCAAAGCTTGACAAGGTATGGCTTCCACCAATTTGAAAACATAGTCAACTGCTACCAAGACGTATTCATAATTCTTTGACTTTAGAAATGGCCCCATATAATTGATACCCCAGACATAGAAAAGTTCGTTCTAGAGGTTGGTGGTGAGTGGCATGGCATTTCTTGAATTGATGTTCCTATGCCTTTGACATGAACCACATCTCCAAACGAAGTCCTTCGTATCTTCATACATGGTTGGCTAGAAAAATCCACTCTGCCAAATTTTTGCATGAGTGCGGAATGCACCATAGTGTCCTCCATATGGTGATGAGTGGCATCGTTCGATAATCTTGATGCCTTCTTCTGCTGGTACACACCTCCTGAGTAGACCGTCGGCGCAGACTCTGTAGAGGTACGTCTCATCCCATATGTGGAGACGACTTTCGTAGATGAGCTTCTACTTGTTCTCCCGTGGTGGTACATAACCTGCAACCATAAAATTGACAATATTTGCGTACAAGGGTCGGAGCTCATGATCTTGAAGAGCATGTCGTCCCTCAAGAGAATCATTGATGGGTAATTTCTATGGATTTTTAAATTGCATATTAGACAAGTGATCGGCTACAGAATTTTCTACTCTCTTTTTATCTTTTATTTCCAAATCAAATTCTTGGAGTAACAAAATCCATCTTATAAGCCGAAGTTTAGCATCTTTCTTAGTGAGCAGTTATTTCAAAGCAGCATGATTAGTATAAATAATCAACTTAGCTCCTACTAAGTAAGATCTAAACTTATTAATAGCAAAAACAACAGTGAGTTCTTTTTCAGTTGTTGCATAATTAAGCTGAGGTCCTATCAAAGTTTTGCTAGCATAAGAAATTCATGATGCTTCTTTTCTTTTGTTTGACCCAAAACTGCCCCACATCATAATCACTAGCATCACACATAATTTTAAAAGGTAAAGACCAATCGAGGTTGAATGATTGGTGCAGAGTTAGAATTTCAAAAGATTTTAAGCATGCATCGTCAAATTTAAAGAGAGCATCCTTGACCAAAAGGTTTGTAAGGGGTCTAGCAATGTGTGAAAAGTCTTTTATGAAACGACGATAAAACCCCGCATGACCAAGAAAACTTTGGATCCCTTTGACATTTATAGGAGGAGGTAGCTGTTCAATCACATCTATTTTAGCTTGATCTACCTCAATCCCCCATTCCGACACCAAGTGTCCAAGCACTATGCCTTCTCTATCCATGAAATAACATTTTTCCCAATTAAGGACTAAGTGCTTTTCTTCATATTTTTGCAAAACCTTGTCTAAATTTTCAAGACAACCATCAAAAGTTTTCCATAAATAGAAAAATCATCCATGAAAACTTAGATGATTTCTTCAATCATATCAGAAAATATAGACATCATGCATCTTTAAAAAGAAGGGACTAAGTGCTTTTCTTCACATTTTTGCAAAACCTTGTCTAAATTTTCAAGACAACCATCAAAAGTTTTTCCATAAATAGAAAAATCATCCATGAAAACTTACATGATTTCTTCAATCATATCAGAAAATATAGACATCATGCATCTTTAAAAAGAAGTTGGAGCATTACACAGTCCAAAAGACATTCTACGATAAACGTAAGTTCCATATGAACATGTAAAGGTGGTTTTGCTTTGGTCATCAGGATGGATCAGGATTTGATGATAACCTGAATACCCATAAAGGAAACAGAAGAAAGAATGATTTGCCAGTCGCTCCAACATTTCATCAATGAAGGGCAACGGAAAATGATCCTTCTTTGTTGCCTTGTTAAGTTTTCGGTAATCAATGCACATCCACCAAGCTATGACGGTTCTTTGTGGGATCAATTGATTCTTTTTATTTTTTACAACAATCATACCTCTCTTTTTAGGCATAACTTGCACAGGGCTAACCCACTCACTATTAGGAGCGGGATAAATTATCCCAGCGTGCAAGAGATTCAAAACCTCTTTCTCAACAACGTCTCTCATTGCATTATTAAGCCTACACTGAGGCTCCCTAGAAGGTATAGAATCTGGGTCTATAGGGATGCGATGTGTGCAAAGAGCAGGGCTAATTCCCTTGAGATCTTAGAGTGAGTAGCCAAAAGCAGAATGATGCTTTTCTAGAACAATTAGCAAGCGGAGAGTTTCATCATGAGAAGGTTTGTTAGTTGTGATCATAGGAGAGTCTCTAACATTATTTAGAAAAGCATATTTAAGGTCAGGAGGAAGGGGTTTAAGCTCAATGGGAGGTCTTGGTGGTTCCTTCAATTCATCCAAGGGTCCAGGTTCAACAAGTTCTTCGTCTTCTTCCTTGATGAAAAGGTGAGCATCTTCATTACGGTTAGGTTTGATTAAATCATCAAAAGATGAAACCATAACCTCATCCATTGGGTCTTGCTCGGGACTCATCTTAGTCTTAGTATTTAGCGAGTGAGTGATGGGTATAGAAAGATTAAAGTTCTTCCCGAGATTCATATTCAAACTCCCTGTTTGTCCTTCTTGAATTAGTCTTTCAATTGGTTGCCCTATCAAAAGGTCGAATTCCATGATATCAAGGACATAAAAGCTCAAATTGACCATGGTTTCATTTACCTTGATAGGGAGGACATAAACTATCCCCAAACATGGAAGGATGTGTCCTGAAAATTTTTCAAGAACTTTGTTGTTGAGGTTAATGGTATTGTCGGTGCAGGACCTACGGGATACCCCGCAAGGAAGAGAGAAGATCTAGTCTAACTAGGATTCTTCCCATGTAATCTTAGTAGTAGTATTATTCTGTAATCCTACTAGGAACTATCATTGTAAACCGACTAGGACTCTGGCCTCCTGACTATATAAAGGAGGGCAGGGTTCCTAGAGAAGGGACTTTACGACACAATACTTCACAATCAATCCAACGCAAAGGCTAACGCCGACTGGACATAGGGCTATTACTCGATCAACGATCGAGGGTCCAAACCAGGATAAATCAACTGTCTCTTGCGTTTACCGTCGAGTTCCGCATACGCTAAAGCACGAACAAACTGCCCCGGGTACCCCCGTGGCAGGCTATCGGTGGTGAAACATCGACAGCTGGCGCACCAGGTAGGGGCTTTCGGCGAATTTGCATCCGAGAGCTCGATGGACCTCGACAACATGATCTTCTCGACGGGATCAACCTTCATCTTTGGTTCATGGATCTGTTAGGCAGGTGACAGTGGCAAGCTCCAAATCCGTCTCCTCGAAGATTCGGATCACCATGAAGACCATTCTATTTCGGCGACTACGACAGATCAACTCGTTGGAAAATTCGCACAGCTCGCGATGTCCGATCCAACTCAGATTTCGCGACTTTGCCCATCCGACTCAAACTCAGGTTCCACATCCGAAATAGAGTCTTACCCGAGTTCTTCCGAGAAACTGAGTTCTTTTCTGATGGGGCTTAAGAACGTGGCCTCGGCCTATTAAGAATACAACTCGGAGTACACTCAGAGTCTTTTCAAGAAGTCAGGTCCTTTTCCGTTCGGACTCCACAACATGGCAACATCTTATCAGACACGGCTCGAAGGATCCCTCGATCCGGTGCTTAGAATGCCACTGAAAGGAGCTCAAGAAGGTCTCGTACTAAGTATAACATCTCAAGACTGCATCGTCCACTGGCCAGGTTCTATTCCTGAGGATAGCGGTACCCGACTAGTTGGCACTACGACAACAACAATTCTACCCTACCAAGAAGGAGACTCGATCTACGACCTCGAAGCCTCTACTAAAGTTATCAACTACTCCGACAGTGTGGAAACCGACGCCGATAGTGGAACAATTCACGCACGAGAAGTATTCATGGTTCGCCATCCTCGATCACCATTGGTCCCCCCAGAAGCGCCCGACGTCAGGTCATCGGATGAATCTGAGTCCAACATATCACCCTTCACCCAGGGGCACGATGGTGAGACCGAGAATCAGAAGCAAGCCAGAGAAAGAAAAAACAAGTTGAAATAATGACGCCAACACTGTGCTAGGCAGCGCAAGGAAGCTTGGATCAGATATGAGTCAGATCTGGCCGAGTACAATAGAAGAAAATCAAAATGAGAAGTCGAAGAAAGACGCACGGTGAATACACCCTATGATAGGATCCGAGAAGCACTAGAAGAACTTAGAGCGACCTCACATCCCAATGAAAAACAAGAACAGCTCTGGGACTTTCTCCGGTCAATAGTCCTAAGGACGCACGACGGAAGGACCCGCTCAAGACTACCTGCCAGGTCAACATCTCATGAGTAGGAAGATCAAAATCAAAGGAAGTCCGCTTTCGAGAGACTTGGACCAAGTGGAAGTCATAATAGAGAAAGTAGAAGGGACCACAGTCAAAACGACCGAGTCGAAAAACCAAGAAAGGTTAGAAGCAAAGCACCTATTCAGACAGCCACGTAGAACTACTCTCACCAAAACAACAGTTGGCAAGAAGGGGGTGTTGAATCGGAATACACAGAAGCCGGAACGCACGATAGATTCTCCTGTTTTGCAAACAAACTTGCTTCAATACGACTACCTCACAAGTTCAAGCCGTCCAACCACTCTAAGTATGATGGCAAGACCGAACCAAGGCAGTTGCTCAGGATTTACTCGCAATCGATTGAATTGGTCGGAGGAGACGACGATATCAAGACCCTATTCTTTCCCATGGCCCTAGA